TCGGCCAAGGCCCCCGGAACGAGAGCAAACTCATGACTCTCTCTAATCACTCCGCAGACGTGTCGGCTTCCCTGCCGGCGCAGAGTGTAAATGATGTGAAAAAAGGGCCTTATCGTTAGTCAAAAAGTCGCAAGGCCGTGAAAACGGAAATGCAGCTTGATTTTCCGACCTAGCTTACGAGATTTATTTCAACTTATTTCTTTGGCCACTTTTTGCAAGAATCTGCTTTAATGAATTGACCAGATTAGTCCCCCGTCAACCGCCGGGACCTTCCTTTCCTGCGCAAGCTTTCTATCCTCCGCTATGGTCCCTTCCTCCTGTGACACCAACACCTGGAAGTGACGCGTATGCAACACAATGGTGTTTCATACAGTAGAAGGGACACAATCATGATATGACGGTAGATTTTTCGCTTCCCTTCCTCATCCTCCCTTCCTCTCTCCACTGCCCTCCAGCTGCCACTGCAGCACCATGTGGAATGAACGGAAGTGTGCTAAGCAGGTGTTTATATAGCCCTAAGAGTGTTATCACAACTATCCTGCTACAAAACATTGATATCTCAAATCCTGTAAGCTACCCGATTTGTTAGCGGTTTGTTTATCCCATGAGCTTCCTTCTCACTCACTTCATTTTGCGGACGGACACACATACATACATACATACATACATACATACATACATACATACATACATACATACACACATACATACATACATACATACACACATACAGACATACAAACCGACACACAAAGTTAGCGCTTTATAATAATAGATAGATAAGGATTACAGGAAAATGAGAATGGCCTTCTTGGTTATCGCATGAAATCCGCACTAGAGCCTCAAAGATAACGTCAGAGTGGAAGACGCTTTCCGTTAAGGCTTGCATCACCGCACAATATTAACACATTGACGACATTGAGACGCGGTAACGCGTCTCACTTTGCGCACCTCGTTGGACATTGAGACGCGTTACCGCGTCTCACCCTTATCATCCCTTTTTCTAGGGCATGCGCAGCTTTTTCCCGAATTGTTTGTCTCTCTTCTATGGATTAGAACATAACATTATTGTGAACGACATAGGTCATTGTTTGTTCAAATATGCTCCAGTTTAGAAGAAGTTTTCCAAGCTCACCGAAACTGGCGGCTTGGTTCATTAATAGTTTTCATGCTATTCTCATGAACACGTCAATAAAAAAGGGTAGTGAAAGTAAATGCAAATCTAAAGAGACAGAAAAATACATGTTTCACTTGGTATAACCACATCAAAAGAGCTTTTGGCATCCACTACAGATAAAATGACTAAAGTTTCCTTTTTCATTACCATTACATGTTCTTTAATCGGAACTTCGTCACTATATACTCTATTACCTTCTACGCATTGACTGTTACTGAGATGTTTTTGTACCACTGGTGCTTTAAAAAGTTATCAATAAAAATTCACGGATCCGAGGTGCGGCGGTCGCACTCGCAAAATCGGCCCGGTCCCACACGGCCAAAAAAGCCAAAACGCGCGCGGTCGTCAATGTGTTAATGGCCCAAACCAAAAATGTTCTGTTCAAATTCGCTCTTCGAATATCATCCATTTAGCAGACTTTTAGCATTAGTTATTAGCCTGCTTTTGTGGATGGATTGTGAACAAACTAGAATCGTCAATTTATAAACACTGAAGTGGAAGTTTTATTGAATTTCGATCATGTCTTGCCTTCCACCTCCAACTGGAAATCGAAATCCACTTGAAAGGTCTAGGGCGTACAAAGGCCTGAAAGCTGAATGCATAGAGTCCCTCTAGTCATTTTGATGCTTTCAAACTTTAGTCATCTGACTCGCTCACGCATGCACATCTAATCACCACTCACCTTGGTTTCTCAGCGGTGGAAATGTAGTTAGAAGTGCTGTGCATGAGGCACTGGGAAGTCTGTTTGAAACTCATAAACGAGGCTGCAATCAGTAGAAGTTCATTGGATTACTCAAACAGTTCTTTTTGCAATAGACTTCACCTACAAGTAGCGATGTCTCCTACCTGCTCCAATTGTCCTCTGCTGGCGACGACATGGCCTTTACGCCGACGATGAACAGCTGAAACCACAGCTTAGCTACCCTATGTGCGATATTTGGAGGCATTCAGCTTCAAAATGTTCACGAAGAGGCAAAAGTGCCATCAAATGACCCGAAAAATCGCTTATCGGTTGTGGGACGCATAGGCTCAACTTCGCTCTGGGCCATCTAGGTTTCAATCCCCGAATTAGCAATGACAGGTATACAAGCCCCCTTGTGAATTGATCACAGCCACGTGCGTGCTTCTGCAGCGTGGTTACAATATGACCACACGTTTCAATGCCAAGTAGCCGCTTTCTGTCAGCCCATTTGCGTCAGAATGAAGCTAGAAGAACCTTTTCTGAGCCTGCTGAACTTTCCAAAGGAAGAGGACCTCTGTAAGCCGGGAGCTCCGCCTGGTGTACCTGAATGGGGGGCAGAGTCAAGCAACGGCGCCGAGGAAAATTATGAATTTAACGATCCCCTTTCACCTCGCGCTAGGCGCCAAAGTCCTCGAGGCGCCGACTCTCTCACCAAGCGAAGGGATAGAAAAACTTGTTTCAGCCACTCCGAAAACCTTTCATGAAAAACCTTAAAACTCGCTCAGCAAATGAAGTGAGTCGAACAAAAATCATTAACAATAAAGTTTAGCGACAGGAAAAAAAACAGACTAGTTATTCATTTTTATTCAGTTTTTTATTCATTTTTTGTAGTTGGTATAGTATAGTTATTTTTTTAGTTTTTTACTTTTTTAGTCATTTCATGACGGCATAACTCCTTTGTTTGTTTCCTTTAAAAGGCTCACCTAGTCTTATCGTTAGTTTCACATAGCGTATGCTCTCAATCTACCCGCACCATTTGGTTTAGGGGACCCTTGCAACCGCATCAACCCTCTGACGACCGCCGTCGTGCGTGTGCCCCTTTTTTTTAAAATTTGATCTCCATCAGCCATAAACTCTCCAACAATCTCATTATTAGTAAAGAGCACAATGTTTCGCGAATCCAGTAATGTATATGGACAGTTCTGAGACATAAAAAATGCCTTAATAACCCCACGAAAAACGAGTCGCCTCCGAATAGAAGTGTGGCCCACCGGTCACGTCGCAAAAGGGTTCGATCAGGGGCGGTATTCAATCCTTCCCCCAGGGGGATATATCCCCCTACTCTGATTCAATCCTCTGGGGGGACAAAAAAGGGTTGCGTCATAGGACCTCGCATACCTCTGTGTTTCTACCTGCCAGACAGTTAGAGCAGCGCGACCCTCAGGGGAAAGAGTGCTTCATCAGTGGAGGGTAGTAGCGCTGCTCTAACTGTCTGGCAGGTAGAAACACAGAGGTATGCTAGGTCCTATGACGCAAACCCTTTTTGTCCCCCCAGAGGATTGAATCAGAGTAGGGGGATATATCCCCCTGGGGGAAGGATTGAATACCGCCCATGAGGCAGTAAGGTATGCTTCCCCGAATATAAGCGAGGCGATACCGAAGCGACCCTCTTAACAATTTTTGTTTTCTTAACGCCCTACTGTTAATCTTATTTTCAATGCCATTGCCTTGACTTCGAGCTACACAAATCATATTACATAGATGTGGGCCCTTTATCAGGACAATCCCAGTTGGGACTACAGAGAAAATTCAAAGGAGCTTTCGTCCCCTAACCCATCGGGGAAGCATACCTACGGCCCCAGATGGGTTGATTGATCTTTGGCGTTGACTTGGAGCGCAGCCCCCCCTTACTCTTTACTATATGAAACCCGGCTTTTGCGACACCATATGTCAAATGGATTCCATATAACTATAACTTTTCTCCGAAGTGGCCAGATCCGAGCGCTCCGAACGCCAGGGGCGAATTTCGAACCTGAAGCAGATTTTAAGAGTCGGGGAGAAGCTCTTTTCAATCAGTGTAGTGAATCTGTAAAAGGTTAATATAGTAAATACACAAAATGTTGGATCGATAACGCAAGAAATAATCAGATGATGAGCCGGCGAGCTCATTTACACTGTTCAGAGCTGCATCAACTCCGCGCGTCCCAGATCTGAAGATTTAGTTATAGTAGACACAAAGTTAGAAGAATGCTCTAACTTCAATGGGTGTGTCTAGGAGAGCGAGGGGAGACGACGAAAGCGCTTCAAGCATGCGGTATACGAAAATGGCTACGTTGGGATTTTTCGCAAAACCCGCGCGCGCCAACCCCCGGCCAAGCGCCACAACCGGGAAGACTGCGAGACCACCACGTCGCCCACGGCGGCAACCCTCGACGGGCCACGACCACGCACCCCCCCAGCCCCGCAAACCGGTGGAACTCGCAGCCAAAGAACCCACTCGACTTGTCAACACACTTTTACACAAAGCCCATCACCCACCTTCCCTTTAAATGCGACCGAAAGTTTTCGAAATGTTGAGTATAGCGAACGACAGAGAAAGTTCATGTTTGCGCATTTCCCAAAAGGTGATTTGATGCTGCGTTGAGTAGTTTTCAGAATATTCGGAAAAGGCGCGGCGGCCGCGTGTTGGAGTGTTTGTTACAAGGTATCCACGCACGAGGTTCTTTTTGTGCTGCTATTCGGCACTCTTCCAATCAGACTCATAGCGTCCTTCATGCTTCTCTGCGCGCGGCCACACGCGGGGGAAATGGGGGACAGATTTTATGGATTCGCCAAACATTTTCTTGCCGAAAAGCGTAAAACTGCATAGTTTTGACTTTAACGATTATATATTTTAAAATTTAACGCTGGAGCCTTTTTGTTCAATAGCGGATTACTCCCTGTTAGTTCAAACAACTCCTCTTGGGGTTCTCTTGGTTTCCCTTTATTCGAGATTTCTTTGTTAGCGACCGAGTGTATCGCGCACCATGGACTGGGCGCATCCTCTCTCTCGTCCGCTTTAAGTTTGACCTTTTCCGTACAGGATTTCCAGGTGTTTCAGTTACATTCCCGATGTAAAAGTGTATCCATGCTTTATCAAATATGCTAGTCGATCAGAATATGGCTGCTACATTTCGAGATATGAGTGAGCACTTAGTCTGTTGCAGAGTCAAAGTTTGGTGATGCAACATCAGTTTTGCAGGAATTGTGCCAGTCAAAAATCCATTCGGAAAAAAGGATTTTGCCGTGAAAGTTCCTGTTGGCAACCTAGAAAGCGATCCTATTTGGGAAGTTGAAGCAATAGCGGCTGTAAGGTGTGTTTAATGTTTGACACCTTTTTGAAGGATTGGGTAGTTTCAATGGATATTGCAGTCAGTAGGTTTTGTATTCATTCAAAGTGTAAAATTTTTTCTATGCTGCTGCTTGCCAAGGTTTTTTTAAAGAGTCGAAACGTGTTTTTGGTTTACGTCACGGACAAATCATCGTCTTCATGAATTTGGAAGTGATACAACGTCTCGTTTGAGGCGAAAATTTGTTCTTACCCGCATTCTTGTGAAAATATAATATTAGCTCTTCTGCCTGGACTTTTCAGGTTTGAGGCTCTTCTGAAGCATTCCAATTAAACCGGGGTGCGGTGACGCTTAACACGTTGACGACAGCGCAGGACACATACGTCCCGCACTTTGCAGGCCATGACGGACAACGCGGGACGTATGTGTCCTGCACCCAATGCATTCATTTTTTCTCGCACACGTGATTCATTTTTAGGCTTCTTGTATTCATTCCATAGAGAAAACCTTAACATAGATACAAACATAGTCGCTCTTAGAATGGTCACGTATGCTTCAAATTTAGGGGAGGTTTTCTGAACCGAACGAAATCGTCAACCCAGTTGATTTTTTGTTTACATTTTCTTTTCATGAATGTGAATATTTAAAGGGTAGTGTAAGTCAATACGGAACCTCAAGATGACAAGATATGTGTTTTGATTGCAATAATCGGTGCAAAATTGCTTTTGACGTTCATTGCAGCTGATTCTGACAAATTTTGCTTTTTCACTATTATTTCATCCGACTTTCGACCAAATTTTCACTACTATATCTCTGGGGCGCTTCTACGCACTGAAAAGACTAATCTAACTTTGTATCAATCATGTTTTATTCATTTACCATGCAAAATTCGCCTGAAGGACCTGAGGCGGCGGCGCTCGCAAAATCGCGCCGGTCCCACGCGGCCAAAGAAGCCAAAACGCGCGTTGTCGTCAACGTGTTAAACGTATGCAATATAGAAACTAAAAAACATTACCAGATCTCCCAGAGCTTAAAGAAAGAACCCAAGATGGGTCCATAGTTTTGCTACTATTTCCTCGACACGTTCATTTGCTCAGCATAGAGACAACGTAACTGACTGCGTGTTTCTTGCGCGAGGGTGTGGCTCGTTGGCCGATGTCAGACTTTGCGATTGGAGCGATTTTGCACCAATTGCAGGAGCGACGGGAGATTTACACCGCCGACCACCGATACACACGGCGCCGCTCGGGTAAATCTCCCGTCGCTCGCACTTTGGAGCGACGGATCGCTCAAGCGATCCATCGCTCGGGCCGTGATGTGCCTCCTTGGCCGTTGTGGCAGGGAGCTGCGAGCGACGGGAGATTTACGAGCTGATGGCGCCGAATTATCGGTGGTCGGCGTGTAAATCTCCCGTCGCTCCTGCAATTGGTGCAAAATCGCTCCAATCGCAAAGTCTGACATCGGCCATTAGGACAGAAAGCGACTTTTTCGCGTTTCGCAGCGCGAATCGTTGCGGGAATCTCGGGTCCACTGATGATTCGCTGCGGGAACCTCGGGTCCACTGATGATCAGCGGTGGACCTGAGGTTCCCGCAGCGGAAAATGTTTCGCGCTGCGAAACGCGAAAAAGTCGCTTTCTGTCCTAGTGAACCACACCCCTTGCGCGATTTTAAAGGAGGAATTCACGATTAGAATGAAGGTCGAAGAAAGGGAAACTGACCTAGTTGAGGGACCCACGGACCTCCTGAGGGTGCGAACTGACGCGCAATTCGCATGGAAAAATTTGACCTCGGCGACCTATCATGCCTCAAAGCTGGCGGGTCCGGCGATCTCCGCCCACCGATCATCTGTAGTTCAATACGTGGCGAGTGATTAGATAGCTGAGAGAGCGTAGTGTTGAAGAGGGCACAGCGATGAGAGTCGCATCAATGCTCAAATCAACGGGCAAGGAAGGGGTCCCATTTCTCGGGTTCTGGGCCGTTTCTCATGGTTCTTCCTTCTTTCGTGTACCACTCACCATCCCTAGGTTAATTTGAAATGGGTTGCTTTTTCATCGTGAATTCGTCCTTTAAACTGTTGGATTGAATGCAGTCGGTTTTTTGATTGGTTTTATTTGTTAGAATCGTTTGATTATTGTATCTCTTTGTCTGTATTCGTACATATCCTTGGTTTTATTGGCGGATGCGATTGCAGCGGCATTTCTTGCTGGGACGGGACACCAATAAATGCCGGCTGAGCAAGCTGCTTCGGACAGCTCTTCCGGCCACACCCCTCTTTATCTCAAGAAGGAGGAGGATGTTCTCATTCAAAGGCTTCATAGGCGGTTTTCTTGGGATCTTTTTTCACTGTCAGTCAACTCAGCATCTACAGTTTCATTATCGACCTTTCCTACGCCACAGATTCGATCCGGCGTTGTTGCTTCGGCTTTATCGAAACACCGACCATACGAGATGGACGATTAAACTTTTCTGGATCTTTAATCTACAAAGAAATTTGTGTTAAGAAATTTGCATAAAATTTTGCTTTTCTAGAGGGTCACTAACTTTATTGGGAATTTCAGATGGTTCATCGCAGATACGCTGAAACCTCACATCATGGTGTGGTTGAGTGGATTACCATCGAAATTCTCAAATAAAGAATTGGCTGACGAAGTAAATTCAGGATTTCGTGCCACTGAAAACTGCATCAATGAGGTAAGGTATTCTTTCTCCTTCTTTTGTTCCTATTGTCCAGGAGATACCTGACTTCTTCATTAAGCAAAAGACCACTCACAAGCATTGGTAAAGACCCGACCTTCTACATGCCTGATGATATTATGAAGGATTGGAAGAATACGATGCCATCATTCGACCTGACCACACACTTTTTATAGATCGGGATCTGCCTCAGCCCATCACTTTTTTGGAAACCATTTTTACTTGATAAACTCACTCGGCAGTATAGCACTACTGATTTTTACACTAGCAGAATTGCTTGGACATGATATGCGCTGAGTACCTGAATGAACGCCCTCATCCTTCCTTTTATTTAACTCTGGCTCATATACCTTGCATGAGTGGCATCTTTATGGCATTCACTACTTTTCAGTTTTCTTTGCTTTTCTCTTGTGTTCTGCTTGTGTTTTTGTTTCGTGGCCATTGTTCACAATTGCTCAGCAGTTGCTTATTAGCGTTATTATTTTGCTCTCAGAAAACGTTATTTCAGTTACTGCTAGCCGTTGTGAGTGGAAACATATCAAGCAATTTTTCTGACAAAATTTGGCGGCATGTTCCTGATCTTCTCTTTCCTCGCCATGACTGGGCAGAATGGACTCGTCGATTAATGCCCCTAATGATCAATCACTTCACTTCCATCCGATGTAAGTCAGAAATGCAACTCGATAGGTTCCGTTCGATTTTTTAATAAGTGGCACATGTGTAGCTCTCAGAACCTAGAGTCGAATTTTAGGTATGAATGTTGTTGAAGCGAATACTTGCCGCCGTGATCCACTTGAGCAGGGCGACTTCTTTGATCATATTCTCTCGAAGAGGTCTGGAAAACTTGAGAAACGTCGGTCTACTGCCAACGCAATGCGTGAAACAATAGCTTACATGTAGGTTTATTTGTTGCTCTTGCGCTGTTCTGCTCTTAATACGTATTGGATAGATACATGTTCAAACAGGGTGAGCGATTACTGGTGGTTCCATGTATCTTGGATTCTTAACCCATTGCGGACCGCGTGCTGCACATGGTGCAGCACGCCACCACGCGGAGAAGGATAGTAATCTTCGATTTTTTCAGCATTTTGCTAAGTTACAAAATCAACAGTTTACTTTTTCGGACACAGGATATATCACTTATTTGCATACTGGTTAAATTTTTGATAGATTATTGGCCACTGATAAAAGAGATGACAAAAACCTACGGAGGTGCAATTATAACGGCGGTCCGCAATGGGTTAAAAATCTTATCGCAGAGCTCCCCGTCCTATTCTTTCATGGTGTGTTGCATGAGATAAAAAGCGTTAAACTACTAAAACGCACGGATTACGGAGTGGTTCGGGCCTCCGCCCTG